CTGGTTGTACGAGAGTGCCCGACTTGTGGCGGAGGCACCAAGAGATTTATGAGTGGACAGTTGTCTTTCACCTCTGCCAACTCACCACATGTATAGCGCTCTCCATCCATGATTCGTCTTTACGGTTTTAGAGGCACGGAGCCGCCGCTCTCTAGTATAAAATTGCCTCATCTAGACGACGCTCCCTTGAAGGTTACGAGTTGGGAGGATTCAGGGGTATTGGATCCAAGGTATGGTACACAGTTGTAAGTGCGAGGAATGATGGCCTGGGTGGGGTTGTACTTACACAGAGCTGTTGGGGGAGTGATCTACTTCTACGTTTCGGGGGCATAATTTTTGGACTGGCGGAGGTAAGGAGTCGGGGGGAAGGAATTTGGTGGAAGATAAGGATGATGGAGGCATGTCTATATTTGCAAAATGGATTAGTGAGTTCGGACTCACGACTTCGATGCTAGAAGGGAGCGCTTCGATCGTGATTCACCATTGTGCTTGAGCTGTTCAGTTCTTCGATTCTCACGCTTAATATCGGCTTGGACACTGCAGATGAAGGTGGGATTTGAAGGAATTTACCCGAAATAGATGACGATGGAGGCATGTCTATTTTTGCAAAGAGCAGGCGGATGGATTGGTATGCTTGGACTCTCTACTTTTCGGAGCGCTTCGATCGAGGATCGCTATTGCGCTTGAGTAATCGGGTTCTTCTATTCTGGTTCACGTGCTTAATAGTTGCTCAGAGACTGTATACGTAGAATGAAGGCGAAGAAGGGAAATGAGTAGACTGGTAGAGGCTATCTCATGTGGGATGTATGATTATACGTACCTATCAAAGTAAAGGCATGTCTGCATGATATTCTTTTGCTCTTGTATTCTGCTGTAAGGTCTGGTTTCGACGGAGCTAGTTCTTCTTATGATTAGGGAGGATGGATTCCGACATCGCCATATGCATGATCACCTCTTGCGTTGTCATGTTGATTGCCTTCCTGGCCGTTTCAGGGACGGATAAGGGTTGCGGTAGAGTGCCTGATAGGACAAATCGGGATTGCCGACAGATTTGTTCTACGAATAATGACGCACTGATGGGGGAGCTGCTGAACCTTATGGGGCAGTTTATAGTAAGGTTGCTGGAGGGTGGCGACGTATGGACCTGATTAGCTGCTCGGCATCCTGAACTTTTAACTTCATCAGGCTTTTTCTACATGGCGCTGTCTATGATCCATATGATGTTCAGTCAAAAGTTTTTTCTCATGAGTGGTCTTTCATGGATATGTTGATCTTCGTGGTTTTCTCTGATATGCTTGCGCATTTTCTTGAAATCATGATTCCCGGTTTGAACAAGTTGTTCTGCATAATGACCCATGGCATGTTGTCCTTTAATAAAAAGCAGGCTATGTATGCAAGATGTACGTCCCTCCATTCTTTATTGGGTTGCAGCGGAAAAAAACTTGAGATAGCCCACTGGGTCATTGTTTTCCGGAGTCATAGCATGCATGCTATGCGTAGAGTATGATACACACACATGGAGCTTGCTCCTGGGCGCTGTTTTCGAGGTCGAATCCTTGAAAATACCCCGGTTATTGCTATCTCTCCCTACATGTTTTCGCTCCCCGAATCTGTGACCTTCTCTTCATGGATGGTTAGTTTTGGGGACGTCTCTAAAAACATTCCGCTTTTTATCATAAAAATCCCAGTATGTTGTGGTCTTACCTTAAACATTCGGGATGACCCTCAAAGATGTGTTGCTCTTGATTGAAAAAAGGCATATCGCTCCTCGAACCAATAACGATACTTTGGGAAGCGGTAAGGTCTGATGGATGGCAGCTCATGCCGTTTTTTTAGCGGAACCATTAGCGAAGTATGCTAAGCCTTGGTCAGTATTCATCACGGAGAAATTCTCCTGGAAGTTGTGTATCGGGGTCGACCCCCTGCACCCTGATTTGCTCGCCATCTGCCGCATAAGCGTCTTACCCCTCAATTCCGAGTCTATGTTATGGTTTTTCGGAAAGATTTTTTTTCAAAATGGAGAACCACTCGATACGCTTGCATCAGTACATTTTTGCCTAAATCTTGCTAACAGCTTAACCCGACTTGTCGCAAAACTTGGTCCTTGGCGCTTGCGTCTCGAGCTGTGCTTACGGGCATAGGGACAATTTTTGTGGGCATATGAACCTTCCTCTTATTTGTTTCGTTAAGAAGTATGCTTTGTCTAAGGTGCTGATTGATAATGGGTTGCAGAGAAGTTCAGTCGGATGGCGGAACAGGCCGTGTGTGCAGAACCTTAGCGTAGAAAGCTAAGCTTGGAAGAATTCCTTGCAAGTTGTGTTGGGGTCGTCTCCCCTCCACCCTGTTTCCCGCCTTCCTGGACATTAGCAACTCTCCCCACTGGTGTACAGCCTCAGCCCGAAAATATTGCTTCTCGTTTGAATTTATGAAATGGAAATTCAACTCACCCATATGTCGGTTGCTGTGGCTATGAGGATTGGCACGTTGATTGCTTTTTCCAAAAAGAATTCCCTCTGGTTGTCCTTCCAGCTTTTCGCGTTTCTCTTCTCTTCCTTGTTTTCCTTCCTTCTCGTCTTTCCCGATCCGTCTTTTTACTTTATATATATATATATATATATATATATATATATATATATATATATATATATATTTTTTTTTTCCTTTTTTTTTTTTTTGTACTCCAGCAGGTCTTATCTCCTATCGAACCGGAAGAGGACT